AACTGTAACTGTAACGGAATACAGTTACTCATATTTTGTATTTTAAATACGTAACGGCGGTACATGTATTCCGTTACTCCCCAACACTGCTAACCCTTATCCTAAACCTAACCACAGCCTAATTGTAACTCTGACACTAAAACCACATTTTGAGTCTCAAAAATGCCGTCAATCTTGTGAGGACAGTCACTTTTGTCCTCACAAGTATAGAAACATTTAATTTTTCTGTCCCCACAAAGATGTCTAAACAGGTACAAACACACACCTGATAATTAGCGACACACATCAACTAATGACTCAAAGCTGTTGGGCACAGCGCTTTGTGTTGACATCCGCCTGTCAGTCAAAGCTCCAGAGCCCAAATAACAAACTGTAAGTCCCAATAAAAATTAACCAATTAAGTTATTAAAAAAATTAACCGTTTTATATTTGCCATTTAGGTGAATTTAGCTTTTGAAGTCTAAAATGTCTAAAATTACCGGGCAATAAGCATGTCTGTTCCTGCTGTAAAGTTGAGTCTGTGGACACTGGGCAGCTCTTGGAGTGGGCATTTGAAGAATTACAGTTTTTAGCACTTTGGTGATGTTTCATTTTTACGCCACACAGGTTGCTGCATGTTTATTTTTATCTGTTTGTTCATTTGAGTATCGTGATTTCTGGAAAAATGACATTGCTGCTGCATTTTTCATGGTGTTTGAGCACTGCAAGTCCCATATATTTCCAGTTACAAAAGACAGACATCACTACAGATGGTACCTTTTTTAAATCGGCTAACTCACAGCAAAAGAATTAAGATGGATAAATAGCACAGGGATAAACATACATATTTGATTTTGTTAGTGATAAAATGTGAAAAAAAAGTGAAACGTCTGAGCTTAATGTTGATTCAACACTTTTAGGCGTCATCTGATGATGCTGCATCCCAGGTTTAGTAGACAGATGTGACTAACTTCATCTCACCAATGAAGTTAGTCAGGTCTCGTATTCATAGATAATCAAAACTGCATATTTTTATATTGTCAGTAATATATAGTTTAATGTTGATTATTGAAAAAGAAAAAAGAAAAAGAAAAAAGAAAAATACAACTTTAAATGTTCACAAAGACTGACAGGATTTCTAAGGTTTTCTTTAACTTACCTTTACAT